CTGGAATATTTCCTTGCACTTTGGTGCTGAGTTAGTGCAGGGGTTTAGAGCAGAGCCTGAGTCTCACTGGAGCAGTGCAGACGGGTGGGACGAGGCACTTTGCCTCCAGTGGAGTTCTGGAATGATCCAGGCAGGATTTGGAGGACACTGAGCCACGGCAAACAGCTGCCAGCTCACAGCTGTGCTCCTCTGATGGGTCTCTGTTTTACCTCGAGGTCTTTGGGGGTTTTATTTAACCTGCCACCCTTATTCCCCAAATTTCTCCTGCCTTGCTGAGAGCTCCGTGGGGCTGGAGCTGCCACAGCTCAAGGGTTGGTGGGAGATGTTCCTCCAGCAAGAGCAGATTTCCTGGCTGGCTGAGTCCTTTCCCCAGCTCCAAGGGTTTGGGCACAGTGGCTGTGGGGACGAGGGATGGACCAGCACTGCCTCCTTCCCTGGAGACACATCTCCTCCCACTGGAGCCTGGAAAAGTCCAGGTGTCCTCAGGGCTGGTTGGAGTGTGCCCTGTTCCCTCAGAGCTGAGCAGCAGAGCAGGAGCACAGACAGCCCTTCAGCTCAGGAACGTGACTGGGGGTGTTTTTAGTCCTGACTCAGAGCTGAGCTCAGCCCTGAAACCTCCAAGGGGGAGGAAGGGAAGAGTTCAGTGGGTCTGGGGATCTTTCCTGGAGGTGAACAGCAGGAAGCAGCAGCTCTGCAGGGGTGTTTCTTCCCCCTTGGAAGCACAACCAGGGACCTACGAAGTTCCTTCCCTTTTTACTTTCTTATTTTCCAGTAAACAACTCTATTTATTCTCTGTTTCCTTTTTTCCCTGTGAATTACAGGAATTCAAAGCACACTCAGTTCCAGGGAAAATAACCATCCAGCCCTGATATTAAAGATGGAAACATTACAATTAGTTTTTCTCCTTAGCAGAGCGACACAAAAATGCTTTAAATGGAGGGAAACACTTTTATTTGCCAGTGAAAACTGAAATAGGCACTTCCCACCCCTGGTTTCCAGAGCTCTTTTTGCCTTCTGAACACGAAGAAAATGGGCAAATTGGGAGTGACCCACCACGGGGGAGAGGGCTGGGAGCTGATGCTTAAAATCAACCAGGAGCTGCCCCATCTGGGGACCTTCTCTGCTCTTTGTGATGGAAATCGGGGACTCTGCATCCTGGGGGCAGCTGTGATTTTAAAAAACCTGGCCAGAACGACATGAAAGCTCCAGCAGAGCCCATTTCCCCCTGCTCAGCTGAGGAGGTCAGAGTGGGAGCCAAAAGGCTCCTTTTTCATCTTTTTATTATGTCTCTCTCTTTTTTTTTTTTTCCCTTCCTGAGGGGACCCAGATGCCCCGAGCAGGGAAGATTAATATATATAATTTTAATGCTTAATTTGAGATGGAAGGCTGGGATGGACAGTGTGGCTCCAGCTGTCAGCAAGGAGGGGACTGGGCCTCTTAATGGCACTTTCCTGGGGTGCTTTTTGATTAAGTGTGTCGGGGGGTGTTTAACTAAACAGGTCTGTGGGGGCTGGAGGGGAGGGAGGGAGGGAAAAAGGGACCAGGAGAGGCTGGAGGTGCAGGAAGGTCAGTGCAAGCAGCTGAAGCAGGAACCTTTCCAACAGCATCTCCCCATCCCTGCTTCTCTTCCCAGCTCTTCCCGAGAGATGGGGGTTCCCTCAGGCACCACAAGTGGATGAGTTGCAGGAAGGAAAAAAAAAAAGGTGTCTCTTTGTGCCGTGAGTTGGGAACTGAGCTCTTCACCCTCCCCTGGAGGAGGGGGCTCCGTGCAGACCTTTGGTGCTGCCGGGTCCCAGCTGGAGGAGTTTGTGTGGAACAGACTCCTCGGGAAGCAATTAGTGCTGAGCTGCTCCGGCCGGACTGGGAGAGGGAGGGAGTGGAGCCCTGATGGCTTTGGCACCTGGGGAGCTGATAACAGGAGGGGGAGCTGATGACAGGAGGGGGAGCTGATAACAGGAGTCCTTGGCAGCGCTGGGAATCGCTGGGAGCTCCTGGAATAGCTGAGTGACTGCCTCGGTGTAACTCTGCAGCAAAGGAAACAACCCCCCCGAGCTGCTTTTGGGCCAGGCTGGGGGACTCCTCCCTTGATTAATGGGACTCCTCCACTGATTAATGGGACTCCTCCACTGATTAATGGGACTCCTCCATTGATTGATGGGACTCCTCCATTAATTAATGAGACTCCTCCATTAATTGTGGCCCCTGTTCCTGCAGCAGCTCCACGATCTGCTGGGATAAAGCTCTGGGATAAGTATTCTTGTCCCCCCTTTCCCTCTCCTTTCTGCTCCTCCTCTCCAGGTTCTCTCCACCCCCAGCCCAAGCCAGCAGGCTGGGAAGCTTCCCCTGCAGGGCAGGACGTGCTGGGTTCTCTCCCCGGGGTGTTCCCAGCAGCTCCTGCCTGTTTGGCAGCCCGGATCCATTTGTCTCCCTGATTTCTGCCCGTTTAATGAGGGTTCTTGGGCAGGGATTCATCCCAGTCCTGGCTGCTCCCTGCTGGGATCTGTAATGATGCTGCCCCTGCCCCGGCAGAGCCCTGGGCAGCAGAAATCCCTGAGCTCATAACACAAGTGAGGAGGGGAGTCTCTGCAGCTCCTTTTCCCTTTTTCCTTTCCCTTTTTCCCTTTTTCCTTTTCCCTTTTCCTTTTCCCTTTTCCTTTTTCTTTTTCCTTTCCCTTTTTCTCTTTCTTTCTTTTCCCTTTTCCTTTTTCCTTTTCCTTGTCCCCTTTTCTTTTTCCTTTCCCTTTTTTCCCTTTCCCCTTTTCCCTTTTTCTTTTTCCTTTTCCCTTTTTCTCTTTTCCCTTTCTCTTTTTCCCTTTTTTCCTTTTCCCTTTCCTTCTTCCCTCCTTTTCTGTGCCTCACTTGCCCCCTCTGATAAATCACCAGCACCAGAACTGCCCCAAACAAGCCGTTCTTGGTCTTAATTTGCCTTGTACCTGTGCAAACCCCGAGCTGTGGGGTCTGCAGAGGGATTTTCCTGCCACCACCCAGGCCCTGAACTTGGCCTTTCTCATCCTCCAGTGGGAACCCTTTGCTGTCCCTCCCTCCTGTCCTTCCCTCGGGGGTTTCCCGGGGTTTTCCCTGCAGTTCCATAACCTGCCACTGCCTTTTCTGGCTCCACAGCTTCGGAGGATCAGCGAATTCCCCCAGAGTGGAGGTGGGGGATTCCTGGAGAGCTGCAGAGGGGCCTGGGAATGCCAGTTCCTCCCTCAGCCTGCCCCGTGCCAGCAGGAGCCTTTGCCTGCTGTTCCCACTTTATCCTGGCTGTTATTTGTCATGGGAACAGGGAGGTTTCCTTGCTTTGTGCAGGTGGGCTCGAGGTGTTACCACATTTCCATGACGTTTATTTTTCTTTGCCTGGTTGTTAAAACATTCCTGTTGTTTGCTAAACACAGGGAGCCTCCTCCCCTCATCCCAGAGCTGCTCATCCCACCCTGGGAACCCACCTGGGCTTCTCCCTCTTTGCTTCCAGGGCTGGGGAATAACTGGGATGGGTTACTCTGGATATACACAACAGGGAGACCAGGGGGTTTATGGAATCATGGAATCATTAAGGTTGGAAAAGACTTTTTAAGATCCTCAAGTCCAGCGATCAGCACTAAACTCCATTCCCGAGTGCCACATCCACGTGTTTTTTGGACATTTCCAGGGATTCTGACTCCAGGGCAGTCCCTGGGCAGCCTGTAATCTCTCAAATGCTCCCCAAGACTTGGGACACAGCAGTTTAAAATGGTTAAAAAGGGCAAGGAATTGGCATTTAACGTGGAAACCGTGCCAGGGCCTTGGCAGGGCTCAGTCCTGCAGCTGCAGCCCTTTGCCAGGTAATTCTGGGGGCTGGGAGTGTTGTCCTTTGGGAAGGAGGGAGGGAAAGGCCCCTAAAAGCACCCTTGGGATCAACCCAGCAGCAACAGGAATCAACCCTCATTAACTTTGGTCGACTGCTTTACTGGGAGGCAGAGATTTCAAGAGGACCATTATTCCCAGCCAGTTCAGGGAGTGGTGCATCCCATCTTTTCCCCTCAGCATCCCTGTGCTTTGGGCTGGGCAGCAGCTGTTGAGCCTGAAAGCCAGACCAGCCTCTGGGCTGGATCTCAGTCCTGCAGCCCCAGGCTGAGCCTGACATTTGGGCTGTTTGAACTCTGTGTGCAGGGAGAGGAATCTGAGCCCAGATCCTCCTCACTGTCCCAGTGGTGGCTTCCTCAAGTCCCCAGTTCTTGTTTCAATCATGGAATATACTTTCCCCTCCTCCTTTAAGCCCCTCATTGAACTGGGATTTACTGACACCTCCATTTTTAGGCAGAGCTACTTTTTTTTTTTTCCTAGAAAACTATCTCCTTTTCCCTTTTTCCCCCAGACAGGAAGGAAAGAAGCAAACAGGGTCACGACACCACCCCAAAAGCACGTGGGATATGGGGAACATTGAAGTTGCACCTCAGAGCAGCTGAGACAAACCCCAGGCTGGAGCAGAGATCAATCCTCCTCTGGCTTTAGCTCCTTGGGCTGGTTGCTGAAGAATTTGGCTCATGTTATGGGGAAGAAAGAGTAAATCCTGTCCCATAACTCCTCAGAGATGGTGTGGAACGTGCTGCTCACTGAACTCTCAGTCCCCGTCCATCCTCTCTGTCCCCCCCCAAAAACAATTCACTGTACAGAGTTAAAAAAAACAACAAAAAAAGTCCAATTTAGCAGTCTGGTTATCTCATACATGGCTTCATAAGGCAGAAAACCTACTGGGTGCCGTGTGGGGAGGGGGCAGTTGGCTGCAGAATTCCCAGGGAATTCTTCCTTTCCTCGTCCCTTTAAAAAAGTTTCATTGGTCAAAGAGCTGCGTCTCTCGTAGGAAACCTCACGTTCCTCCAAACCAAAAAAAAAAGCTGTTTCTTTCCTCCTCCTCCTCCTCCTCCTCTGTCAAATCCTCTCCCTGTGGGGCTGCTCTGGTACAAAGTGGGAGTTGCAGCAGCCGAGGGTTGTGGTTTTCCCGCCTGGGTCGGGGGGAATCCCGTCCCGAGTCCTCGGTCAGAGCTCCAGGGAGCTGATCAGGGCCACCATGAGCAGGGAGTTGGTGGTGATCACCACAGCCTGGGGCCTCGTCCCCGAGTCTTCCACCATCATACTGGTCCCTGGAAAAGAGAGGGACAGGGAAGGAGCCTGTGCCTGGGGGCACAGACAGGGGGGCACTCGAGGTGTTGGTTGGGGGGTCTGTGTGCTCCTGTTTGTCACTGAGGAACCTCCCAGGAACACTCGTGTGTTGGAAGAAGAATCTGGAGGTGGGGTCTGAGTGCTCACCCCCCGGACCAAGGGAACCTGCTGGGGGGCCCCAGAGTCAGGGTGGGTCACAAACAGTCAGGATTTCACTCTTAGCAAAGAACTGACTTCTTAGTTTTGAACCCGGGGTGAGTTGGGGGACTGGGGGGTCTCGAGGGCTTTAGCTGCAAATATATAAGGTGGGTTCAGGCTGGAGTGAAAGGTCGTCAGAGCTGGGGGAGAGGTTTGGTGGGGGGATGGAGAGCGATGTGCCAGGAGTTCTTTTGGGTGAACAGCACGAGGGAACCAAAGGCCATTTCCAGAAAAGCCCCATTCCAGAATCTCAACCTAAAATACCGGGATAGGATGTTCTCCTGTGTCCCTGGAAGGGGGAGTGGGATTTAAAAACACCCTGGCATTGATGGTTACACCCTGGCATTGATGGTTACACCCTGGCATTGATGGTTACACCGTGCTGTGGGGTCAGGTGGGGGAGGAGGTGGGACTGGGTCACCCTTTGTCCCGGCCCAGCGGTGGGAAGGACGGGCAGGGGAGATGCAGGTGACTCCTGTCTCTGAGCTCCTGGGAAGCACCTTGTGAGGGGCAGAGGAGCAGACCTACCACTGTTCCGGAGGATGTGAACTTCTGCAGGGGTCCCGTCCCCTCCCGGCCCCGTGACCCGGATCTGCACGAAGGCGTGGGTGAAATCCTCGGGGACCGGGATGTCGATCCGGCTCTTGCTGGCCAGGTACAGGGTGGGGGCAGAGTGGGAATCCTGCCTGTAGAGCATCTGTTGGGAGAGGGAACTGTGAGTTTTGTGTTTTCCTGGGGGTCAGTCCCCCCTGAGGGCAGCCCAGCTCCGTCCTGCCCGTACCTTGTACCCCGTCACCGCCGACTCGTCCGCCCTCGCCACCACCGGGTCCCACTTGATGGTGACTGTGGAGCCAGAGAAAGTCCAGGAGATGTTGCCAGGTGGCCTTTTTGGTGCTGAGGGATGCAAAGCAAGACAGGGGGTCAGTGATTCGGGTTGTGCTGGTTACAGCCACCTCCTGAGGCTCCGTGAGCAGGGCTGGTGTCACCCCCGGGGAGGGTTTAAAGGCCACCAAAGGTGAGCCTGAGCACAGAGCTCAGGTGAGGGATACACAGATCCCAAGGTGAGGGATACACAGCTCTAGGGTAGGGGATACACAGAGCTCAGGTGAGGGATACAGAGATCAGGTGAGGGATACACAGAGCTCAGGTGAGGGATAGACAGAGATCAGGTGAGGGATAGACAGAGATCAGGTGAGGGATAGACAGAGCTCAGGTGAGGGATATGCAGCTCTTAGGTGAGGGATATGCAGCTCTTAGGTGAGGGATACACAGCTCTCAGGTGAGGGATACACAGAGCTCAGGTGAGGGATACACAGACCACAATTCTGATCTCGGAAAATTCAGGGGAACCGTTTGGTGGATGACATAAAACAGCCTCAGAGCAGCAGGGTAAAGAGTGACTCAGGTTTTTGGGGGTCCCGAGGAGGAAGCAGCGGCCCAGGGGAGGGGGCTGTGCAGCCTGGGGGGGTCACTCACGTGGCCTGGTGGTGGTGACGTTGGTGGAGGCGCTGGGGGGGCCGGTCCCAGCCCGGTTGTAGGCTCGGACTGACACGTGGTAGTTGGTGTTGGGGTTCAGCCCTGTCACGTGGGCAGATGTGACCAGCCCTGCTGTCCTCACCCTGTCAGCTGCCTCCTCCTTGTCCCCATCCTTCCAGTACCGGATCTGGGCAGAGAAGGATCCAGGGGGTTTCAGGAAGGACAGAGGCATCTGCAAATCCACAGCCAGGGCTGGAGACCCCTCGCTGTTATTTATTATTTTGCCTCGTGTGTGCCTGGGATTGAGGTGGAAAGGCAACCAGGACAAAGGGGATGTTTCTCTCTCAGCCTCTCCTGTGAGCAGCAGCCCCAGCCCCATCAGAGCCACTTGGCTCTTCATTATCCTCCCCCTTTGGCAGCAAAATGCTGTTTCCTTCCAGCTCCCTTGACCTGGGGGAGTTTTCTTTGCTGGGCTCTCCCACCTCAGCCTCAGTGTCTCCCACCCCAGGCCCGTACCTCGTAGCCCAAGAGCACTCCTGTGACATCCCCCTGCTCCACGGGCTCCCAGGACACATCCATCTCCGAGGACAGAACAGACTTGGCCACAACCCTGTAAGGAGCCACTTTGGGTTCTGAAAAAGACAAGGAAAGGGAATAAACTCCTTTTTCCTGGCTCTGGGCAGCAGCACTTGGGCACCAGACAAAGGGCTGTCCTGCAGCCCCCTCCCCCTGCGGGCAGACAGCTGGTGCTGTGGGACAGAGCAGAGCCAGGGGAAGGGATTTAGGGACTTAGGAGGACAAGCAGGGCCACAGCTGGGTGTCCTGGGGGTCTGTGTCTGCTCTCAGGCTCTGGGGCA